TATATTAGCAGATATATCAGTTAGAATAGTAGATATATCAGGTAGAATAATAGCAACATTCATCATAACAATTGCATGCTTGTCCACTATTTAGTTTTGTGTTGTGCAATAGTAATATGATTGTCTTATATTGATAGGAACAAAGAAAGAAAAATGAAAAACCACTAATTTGTGGTGTTTCTATTGATCCACACTCAATTGGGGAAATAAAGAAAACCTTGAAATCCCCTGCAATTGGTTCACCAGTATCACCAAAATATCAGAAACAACATGCAAACAAGCCAGAATCACCAAAGCAGGTACATGTTTGATCTAAAACAAAATGAATATTTTTTTCTTGACACTATATGTAAAATGTAATTAATCCTTTCATTTCAGCTTCATTTGTAGTGATCGATATGCATGCATGACGACTCCAGAATAGTTTCTTGTCCATAGAGGGCAGTATAACAACACACATATACTTGTATCATCTTATTTTTTTCTTGATTATACACAGACCAAATTACAATTCTCTTATAGGATGCGAATTATAATTCAAATTTTTATAACCACCAAGATAATCACTGAGTACAGTAGATTGATTTCTGTCAGTTAGGGTACTACTCTGAGTTCACTGAATATAGCTGAAAAGATCCAGTATATCCTGTTTGTTTGATCCACAGAGACATCAACATGAAGTGTATGAGGTGTGGGATGTACCAAACAACAAACATAAATATCAAAAACAAAGGGTCTGTTTGTTCTTTACCAAAATATATATTTATACGTTGCATATCTCTGTATTGTATTTATTGTTTTCAAATTCATTTACAATAAAACATTACATATCAATAGTATTTCTGTTGTAGTTATGGCAATTATTTTATCTATCATATATATCTTGCCTGTGATCATAGTTTTGTTATCATACGTGTGATAAGGTTTGTTCTTGTACCATATCAGGCTTCATTACATTCCAGGTTGTAATAGATGTCTGTTTTCACAACTCACTGTTTGAGTTGTCATCTGCTGCAACTGTGTTATTTGCTTTTGTATAATGTACTGTTTTTGCAAACTGCCACATTTGCAATGCATTCTGGGAATAGTGAATTTTTATAGTGAACCCTCTCCTGAGAGAAATTTTGGAAAATTTGTTATGACAATTAAAATTCCTAATATTAAATTTATATTCAAAACAAGTGGAAAAAATTAGAATCATTTTGTAAAATTTGACATTTTGTTTATTGAACATATTTATAAAATATTAATCACAATTTTTGTCTCCCTTCTCTACAGGAAACCGGTAATGAAAGACATTTTAAATCACCACCTATGACTCCACCGATATCCCCACTGGCTAAACCACCTATGACCACACCACCAGAATCGCCAAAACAGGTATGGTCCATATTATGAAATAACAAATTATGTTGTTTTTATTTTTCCTGAGCTTCAATTATCACATTGTTTGACCAATAATATTGTACAATATTTGATTCTATGACAACAAAGATAGACAAGGCGGTAGGCTGGTTGGCGATCCACTCCACTAAAAAAACAAGCAACATGTTTTTTGGGCTGTTGCCATGGTAGGACATGAATGTGAATCTAACGTTGGTTTACTAATAAAACTAGGCACCGTATACCAGTGCGCAACGTAGCCAAAATAAAAAGCATGATCATTTGAACACTGCTACTACAAGACTGGTAGGAGGTAACAAATTTGGGGCGAAAGTATTCAAAAATTAGTTTTTTGCTGTTGCCATGGCAGCGGTGGGCCAGGATATTTTTCCAATTAGTGACGGTACGACCTGCCTGACAGGTATGCACAAAATCAGCCAAGCCAAAAAAATCAGACACGCGTTAAAAGCCGTTGCTGGTGAAAAGTTACCCCAACTTTGAGATCAATTTTCTTGGTAATGCAAATAGACATATAAAAACTAAACAGTAAATTTATATCCACACTCAAGCTGAGTAGAATGAGCTATGTCCGTGCTTTTTAATCGTAGAAATGTAGGGTGAGTTACATTTTGCGCAAAGGTATACAAAAAATCAGTTTTTTTGGCTGTTGCCATGGAAACAGTGGGCCAGAATTTGTTTTCAGATTTTACAACCTTACTAGAGTGAAGGTGTGACTTGCCTGCCAATTTTAACCAAATTGGCCCAGCCAAAAAAAAATCACAGAAAAGTTAAAAAGCCATTCATGGTGAACAGTTTCAAATTTCGTGCTATTGAATCAAAAATTCAATTAGTAACTTTGTGCCCACACTCAAGCTGAGTAGAATGAGCTATGTCTGAAGTGTTTTATCCTAAATTTGTAGGAGGAGATACATCTGGGAACGGTGGGCCAAATCTTTTTTCCAGATTTTACCTAATAACTAGGGTGATGGTGTGACCTGCCTGCCAAGTTTGAGCGAAATCGGCCAAGCCAAAAAAATCACAAAAGAATTAATACGTGAAAACACTGGAAATCACAGACACACACACAAAAACACAAAAGTGATTTTAAGGGCAATCCTAGCGGAGCGGATCGCCAATAAATAGATACATGTAATGGTAACTATGGTGATATATACACTGATCTGTCTTCCCACTAGAAATTACAAGAACAATGCACATTTCTAGAAATATGTTTCAGAAAGTTTAGTTTTATCAGAAAGCTTTAAGCAAATTGAATTATAGGACATCCACGAAAGTGAAGATTGATTGTTTTATCTACTGAGTTTATGATATAATTGATTATCATTGTCCTAGTGTGTTCCATGACAAGTTTCCATAAAAGATAATCTTTGTTGCAACTATTGTTTATATTGCTTCCATATTTGGTATGAATCTTATTCATTCACTATGATCATATTTGTGTTTTTCTATTCTTCTAATATTTGTGTGATTTGAGGCAAAAGTGATATTTTCAGTTTCTGCTTTAAAACTGATAATCATATTTGATATTTTGGGGTGACTTTGTTCAGATTAGTTCAATCATTGTCTCAATATTATAATTTTATTATTTTTTAAAAATATTTGTGTGACCATTGTTCAAAGTGGTACAGTGCCTGCTGTTATTCATAACTCAACAGAATATTCTAATATTCATCCTACAAGGGTTGATTCTCAAATAGTGATATCAAATTCCAAATTATGTAAATTAACATATAAAACAATTGGATGTCTTGATTATAAGTACCGGTAATAGAATTATGTGTTCAAATTGTATGGTATTATTAAAACCATGTATGTTTGCATTTCATCTACAGAACTTTCCCCAACAGCGATATGAGGTGTTTGAGCCAACACAAAGTAACCACTCTGCCACTCGGAGTACAAATAAGTTCAGTAAACCCATTGATGAGATGACAGTTGAAGAAGTTGGTAATTTCCTTCGAAGTGAGATTCATATTGATGAGGAAACTATTAAAACCTTTGCACATAATGATGTTGATGGAGAGCTTCTCACTGAGTTAAATATTCAAACTTTAAAATCACAATTCAACATCTCCGACTTCAATGCTATTAAAATCACTAAATATATTAGAGGTTGGCGACCCAAACACTCCATTAGATCTCCGCCTCCCACAACAGAATTGTAACAATCTATTACAACACATTCATATTTGCTCTATTAGAAGCACATCTCCAATAGAAGCACATATGAACAATAATTGCATGTGTACTGAATTATTAAAATATTACTTATTTTTATTCTACACTTTGTAGTTTACATAAGAATATGTGCTACTAATAGAATAATTACAGTATGTACATTTAGCAACTAATATATCTCCATCAGTATCATAAGCCAAGGCAGCAACATTAAGAATTTGTTCTTTATTTAACTACAATGTATGCTAGACATATAGTTTTTCAAACTATCTATTTTTCTAAAGACTTTCTTAAAACTTAATTCACCACATGCATTTACTGTATTTTTTGCTTCATACTTTTGTATTACAATATTGTATCAATTGTATTACCGTATATTACATATCTATGATCACAAAATTTCTTCATTTTTTTGGCCACTGAATTGTTGCATTTTCAATTGAGCAACCCAATATACCCCTGGTAGTGGTTAAAAACATTATGTTTCACATGTCAGAATTTTTGTAAAAAAATGATTTTAGCTGGAATTAATTTTTGCTGAAAAGACATTTTGTCTGATTTGTATGAGATTTACTGTCACTGATTTTTGATGAATTGAATATAAAAAAGATATTTTCACTGATTCATGCCTTCAGCGAGAATATTAAAAATAAATTCCAAGTGAAAATAAAGTACTTTAGAGTACCTCATTCGTGACTTAGAATATATTTTTACATTC